CTCAATAAAGCAAATCGCCGTATAGAAGAAGCCGATGAAAACAATCGCCGCTGTGAGCAACAAGTACACAGTCTTGAGCAACAAGTACACAGTCTTGAGCAACAAGTTCACAATCTTAAAGAAAGTCGTCGGGAAACGGACCTCATCGCTAAGATGCAGAAGGATGTGATCGAACATCAGAGCGAATACATCCAAGCTATAATAGCTAATGGTAATGGAGCAGCTATCCAGGACTCAGAAAACACTCATTTCGTCCCAGAGCATGTCCCAGGAAGCGAGACGTTAAGCACACAGCAGCTGATGGATTTCAGTGAATGCGAGATAGGACCCTCGCCCAAAAGACAGAAGGCAGAAGACTAAACATTTTGTTGATTTATCATCTATGATCATCTAAAAACATATAGGATGGCAATACATGACAAAGTGTCTTGATTAGCTTGAAATCCAAACGCGCGATTAAATATTATCTAAATACCCAATAAATATTTAGTGTAAGTAAAAAACTATATTTTTAAGTTTAGAATCACAGTAAACCTATAGTGAAAGGCATAATAGATATTGCTAAGCAAATGTTATAATCCTCCATACATTGTTCGCATCGTGCTGGATGATACAATTGAAAGGGCCATACGTAGTGGTAGTATATCTCAACCTTATCGACGGACGCAGTACCAGGCGAAACGCGGTTTTTAAGTAGTATTTCATTTGCTGGCAGTGGCCTGTAGTCAACATACCTACTGGATGATAGCCGCTTCATCTATTTCAAGCTGTTCTGGGCTTAGACTAAGCTCTCGACCTGTCATTTTCACAGTCTGCATCATCGCTCTCTGCATCGTAGCTGTATACGCCTTCACTCTTCATAGCGTCAGTATCGCTACTCTCTCTGTCATCGATTTCTCGACCGTGTAGCCTCTTCCCCGAACGGTATTCGTTCCCATATTGTAAGAGGCGTGATTATTATCTCTATTTCATCGCTTCTTCGGCCAGCACTTCACCTCTGCGGATGTAGTCGACTAGCAAAAGAAATATTCTACGGGCGATAGGATATAGGTACAGGAACTCTGCTAGGGTTCCTGATAGGAATGACTTCAACTTTGTGAGCGTTATATGTTTCGGGTTCCCTTGAGATTCCCAAGCTCCTGGTAAAACAAGGCAACCCAGAAAAAGATATCGTCGGTATCATTAAGCGAATAGCGTTCGACAGCTTTCCTTGTTCCAGTATCGTAATCCTCGAATATTACCAGCCAGTTCCTCCGTCTTGTATCGGATGGAAGTGTCAACAGCGCTGGAAATCGAGTGCTTATTTAGCTCAACAGGTGGACTGAATTTCTGCTTTGCATTGCTTAGGGGTTTTCCAATATACTGCCAGTTACGGCTGGACATGATTCATTTGACGCAAAGAGAGAAGCTGGTAACGATTAATCCAAGAAGCTGAGTACGGTCGGAATGCACTTGTCAATAGCATCTTTGATTAAGACAGCACTCTCTAACGCCGGTTCCTTCAGCATAGTCGTGAGAATATCTACCAGGGAACCCCGGATATCAACGAAGAGTTTTTGGCCGACCACATCGTGCTTAGACCAAACATACGAAATAAGCGATAGCCGTTGGACGACGAGGGGATACACGAGCCACGTAGTATAGATGCCGCATCGCTCAGCTAAGCTTGAGTAGCCTAGCAGAAGAGATAAAGAAAGGAGTTCGTCGATACCGCAGAAGAGCACAGTCTTGCTTTTGCCAGGGCAACCCTTGGTCCAGAGCAGCCCGCTTTTTGATTCGTCGCAAAATCGTGGGAAGTGAGCGTGACCAAGAAGCTAGCGACATGAGTCCCTAAGCAGGCCGCCCTTGGTGACTCGGATTCGCTCGCGAGGATTGGTGACAATCAGATCCCGCATACATCTCTCGTACTTGTCGTCCTCATTAGCCTTTTCTTGCTATTAAGATTGCTAATTGATAGCCGACCGAATGCAAATGGATGTTTTAAAGGTGCTGACGAGCTTTCGAAAATACGACCTGCTCATTTCAGTGTTGCGCTACTCAGAGTTTTATTGAACAGCAGCTCGCTGAGCTGACCAGCCCAATTATTCCATCGGATCACATCTCTCACAATAAAGCCCAAGCAGTTCTGATTACAATATGCTTCTCCAACTAGGCTCGTAAAGTCGCGGTTAGTTACGGTCTTATTTCATCGGGAAGGACAGCAGGTTCCAGTATCAGTCCATTCTCGATAGGACGTAGACAATATTATCTCGGTTATAGTGCGCTTGAGTAAGAGGTTTCAAAAGGATCTATCATAATATCAGAGATCTATCACCATTATCCTCGATAGGGGAACCTAGTTATACGCACCCATAGCTCAAACCAAACGCCAACCCAAGCGACCGCGGCTTGTAGTGCCTTCTTTATCGCGTTCTATGCCATCTCTACCATTGGTCGCATCTCTTACGAGCCGGTCGATCGCTTACGAGTGCATACAAATTGGACGCATCGCGTTGTCCGAGTCTCTCCGATATTGTTTAAGCTCGACTAGTTTGGCTCATCATAAGCTTCGTTTCAAAGTCGCTTCTGTAGATTCCATAGCGTCAAGGTGTCCGGACACCTACCCTAGACGTAAAACTTTGAACCTGTAAACATGATCGGTCCGATCACTAAGTTAATCCGGCTGCATATTGCAAACCAATCACATCTAATCCATTTGCCTAGACGAATGAGAGGAACTCTTATATGATTGGTCGGGGTAAATTTTCTTTAACACTTACGAAACAACGCTCGAGCTTTACCGCCACGCATCCATTGGCATATATTATTCTGTTTGCAAACACCTTTCTTTCGAACATTTTTTTTTCCCTTATAATCTTTACATCTTACCTACACCGCCTAAAGCCGCTGCCTAGCCAAAAGGATTCCCTTTTATTATCCCTGAGCAGACGGAAGTATTTCGGGTGTCGGTGAGCAGCCTGCCAGCAAGATTGCCATTTGCTAGTACTGAGCTATAGTGAGAACACATCGAGCTGGGGAGTTATACTGCACCTAAAGAAGTAAACAGTACTTCCAAGTTTGTCTTCATGGCTTAGCCTTGCTAATGCATGAACTTACCTCTTGCGTTATGATTACACGTTTGCTATAAAAAAACTTTTCGATTAAATTAGCTAACGAGCTTTAATCAGCAAAGCCTATCACTATAACGGAGCACCATAAAAATATGCTCCATTTAAGCTTGGTTGAAGGGAGGAAGAACTAATGATGGGTCAGAGGTGAATTCTGGCCTGATAGTGGCCTAGGTACTGAGCTTAGATACCCTGTGGATGCGCTACGGTTAGTCTATTTTTGGCTATATTCAGTGAACTCTCTCAATGCTGGACCTATGCCCCACTGTGGATTGCTAGAGCAGCTCCCCTACCATCCTTTGGGACTGGACTTGTGAGCAACTTTTTAAGCTTGGTTTTATTCCTCCAATTGAGTCCGCATCAAGAGAGGTGCTGTATATAAGGGTATACCTCTTCTCTTGAGATTCTTACTATAAGTGATATATTCAATGAGACGCTCACCAGATACAGCTTTTCTAAGAAATGCCCCTTTTTCCAAAAGATATAAGCCAACATGGGCACTCCCACCTATTAAGGTAGATGGAACCCGAAGATCACAAACAAAACATATCATAAAAATGCTAATTATGTTTCATTGCCTAGGAGAATTCTTTGAACATGCAAAAAGACACGGCGGGTGTTCATTATATTCATCACGCTGAAACAGGAGAGAGACCTGAGTCAAACATAGAGCTTAAAAGAGCAAGCGAACCAAATAGTACACCACATGTTCTTTCTAGACTTTACTATCAGACCAAGGCGTTATTTTTAAGATTGAGACCTAAGAAAAGGAAGTTATATTAGTGCTATACAGTGGAGGGAGTTATTACAATAGCAAATATTAGCTACAGCTCTTTGGCCAATAGTGCGAAGAGTAAAACCTTCTTTTTTTTTTTTACAAATTTTTAGTCTAAATATATTCTTTGCGCATGTCTCGTATTACTAACCTGTATGCTTACTGTAATATCTTTTGGATTCAAAGATATTTTCCTAGCTTCTACAAATTTGTTTTCATCAACCTAGAATATCTATTTTTAACCAAGAAGATATCAGCTCTCAGAATTTCCTTGGGAGTTTTTCAATATTTAACATCTTTAATTATAGTAGCTCAGCGATATCTACTAAAACAATAAACCCGGAAAGCGACACAGAGCAGACAGTTTTACTCTTCGAGTATGTTGTGGAATCAACTGCCACGGAGGAAAAGCGATTCTAGAGGACGTGATACAAAACAATCTCTATATTTAATATTGAATTTTGTTACTCCAGGACTCGGAGTTATAGTTAAGACTCCTTGAGAGATATATGCAAGGAGAAAGATACTTCTCTGAAACAATTATAATCCTTGCTATTTGTTACTCTTTGGAAGAGTTTTCTGCTATACTCAATCTACTATACGCACGGAATCTTAGACAGGCCTAATTCTTTTTAATCACGCTATATAAAAGATCGAAGATTTAAAAATTAAAAATATTTAATTGCTTATAGTATTTTCCAACCTATCAACGCTATAAAACCCCACCTGTATAAGGAGTGCGATTGTGATAAGGCTCTTGGTAAGGGCGAGATATCTATATCAAACGGTCAGAGCTACTATTATAAAATAATCTATAGGGTTTTATTATTTAGTGGGGACTATTGCTTTTAGGAGAAAAAAGCTACCTGATTTAATTATAAGCAAGCTAAATATACTAAATATTAGGCATATTACACTTAGAACAGGGGGTAGCTAAAGCTATGTATAAGAGAAATAAACACAACTGAATCTAGATATAGAATCATGGCGATATATTCATACTATCTGTTATATAGGTACAGATATTATAATATTAGCGGCTCCATCCATCTCCTCCTCCGAGGTTATCGCTCTATTCAGAAGTATATTAGCATTATCCCATAGCAGGTTCCTTCAGTCTACGCGGTAACAGTAACAGTTACGGTAATCGTACTAATAGCCATATCATGAATAGAATTAAAGGCAACAGAGTCAGTGCTTTTGCTAGGTATATCTTCGAATTCCCATATGACATCCGTACGGCCGACGGAGAGGCCGATAATCTGTTGAAAAACACTCGGAGAGACATCGATGGAGCCGCTAACACATTCAGGACACTTATCCCAGATCGGAGCGCGGACAGAGTTTCCATTGGCATGGGATATCTTGACCCATTTTCCACAGACTGCTGCTTTATTAGGATTAATATCATTACCAAAGTCGAGAGCAGAGAGGGCGACAACGGCATCGCTATCACCATGGGCTATGCCGCACGCACCGAGGCCCGGGTAGAAGTAGGTCATTTGACCAGAAAATGCGGTCACAGATAAATATAACACTGTACAAATCAATAGTTTAGTTTTAAGCATTTTAAAAGCTGAGCAGCAAACTAGTTATCTGGGAACTTTAATATATTTAGAGCATAACCAGCTTCCGCTCCGTTGTCTTTGTATTTGTTTTGGAGGAGAGGGAGTACATAAAAGTACAGTAGTATACTTGCCCCACTATTGTATAGTATCAGAAATGTCCGTTAATGGCCAGCAAGGAAGTAGCCCTAAGTAGACTAAGTACTGAGGTGGGAACAATTGTGCTTACAGTATTAGCGTGAAATTTCGATACCTTTGGCAAGTAATTAGGTACATCCGACCTTAGGTTGCCAGGCCAGCTAATTGATTACATTATCTGCTGTATCCAGAAAAAACCGATTATAGATAACCCGAATTTGATTGGGCATCAGTCTATATACTTCTTAGTAATCCGTAAGGTTCGCGAACCAGTCTCTGCCTAATATCCAATCAAGCCTTACTATCAAGACCATCCTTCATAATAAAATACCAGGATAGATACTATATGGGAAAATAGCATTAGTTGCTTTGATTTCTTCTATATAGGTTCCACTTGCCCTACTCCGCGGCTTAGATTCAAGATCGCGGGTTGTAGCTATTATTTTTTTATATGGTTTGCATACTTGTTTCATCTGGTATTTCAGCCGTAATCCAAGAGGCAGCCGGTCGCCTTATTCCCCCTCTTTCCCCTCTCTCCTGCCATTTCACCTCTGCTTCCATTTACTCTCGTCACTATACAGCATTCGCCCTATACACACAAGTACAATATCTGCCAACCTTTCTCTATATTCAATAGCGGCAGGGCGTTATACTAGCATCTGCCTCTAAACGAACTCCAGTCATTCGTATGGGTCCAGAGCGCGTGCCTAACGCCATTATAATGATAGGTCCACCTGGCCAAATTAGCCTTCTGGCTATCATCGCAATCTTCACCGTATTAGTATGGTGCTGGCTTCGTGGAGGGCGCCCACGATTGATACCAGAGGACGCGCACGTGAACAAACTGGCACCTGTAAGCAAGGAGACACCGAAAGACTGCAATACAGTCCGGGTTATTGGCGTGCCCCTTGGCTGGGATCTAAAACGACTACCTTTTGTAGAGCCTCTAGCAACCGGGGCAAGTGGTGATGTTCCAATCGAAGGAGAAAATGATCATATCAAATCCTTCACTTCAACAAAATGCTCTTCTATAGGGTTTAAAGCCAGGGAATAAGGTAAGAGGAAGAGAATTTCTACATCTACAATAGAATATAAATCCTTTAGTTATAATACTATTAATGGAAATGCTTCCAAGCTTTGAAAACACAGTGGAAGAGGATACAGTAGTTGCTCCTCATGGATCATGCAAGCTTCTATAGGGTATCTCCTCTTAGCCCTTCCTCTCATCGTATTAGTGCCACCGGTATGAACCGAGAACTGCTGGTACAAGTACTCTGACCAAGGGGCTAGTAGCACTCACTGGGTTGGTCGACTCGCGCTTGGCTGAAGTGCTTGGATTACTTGGAGGGCCTAAATTAGCCGGCCTCCCTACCTACCCCAACTATATGGAGGATAGCATACTGTAAGCACTGTGTTAGCTACATATAGCTAATAATTATTACAACGCTACTTGGAGGGGGGGGGAATGGCCAACCCTATATCGAGCTTTTATTCAGGAGCCAATTAGATAAACTGATCCTTAACACTCTTAGCGTATCTGAGATTTTATTGGAAGTTGCATACCTTGATCAGCCTGGAGCTGGAAAGTACGAAACAATTACATATTAATCTGCTTTTCTTTTTCTTCTCCATTGTTCATTTAAGTATGGGGTTCAGCAAGAGAAAAAAACATCCAATACCGGAGACAGCCAAACAGCCAATTTTAGCTCAGCACAGCCCTATACTACAGGCCTATCTCCATCATTATATAGTTACAATTACATAACATCAAGGCCTCGGTGAGCTGAAACTAGTTATTAGCGCACGGGGGATCTACACTATATTTAACATCATCTTTCATTTAGCTTCAAAGACCCAGATGTATAGAAATAGAGCAGATTCTGGCTGTGAACGACGTTAACTCGGTTTTTACAGATACTATCCCAAAATGCAACATAGGTACACAAATTTAGACGCATGGCCGAAACCGGCCTAATAGATCTCTTGCGTATTTGGCCGCCAAAACAAAATAGCGATACTACAATAACTAGGCTCTATGTTAGAACAATCTCAGTAGAGAGGAAGATCCACGAACGACATTTCCAGCCACGCACACTACATCTATCACCATAGAGAGCGGAACAACACATGCTCAAACTAACGCTCATAATCCGGTTGGTCCAAATAGAACCCAACGCCGGGCGCGAACCCGTGAGACCACAAAGGCCCTTGCCCAAAAAGTCGATAGGCAATCGGTACAAATCAATGAACAACGCTTACAATTAGAAGAGCTAGGTACTCGTCTCAACTCTCTTAGCAGGAACGTTCATATTCTTCAACAAGCTTTGGGGCAAGAAAAATACAGCAGTAGATTTCTTTGCAGCCGGATGAGCGCAACAGAAATAACAGAGTTATCCCAAAATCTTGCTCCACCAGCATTCCCTCATGGACAAATTATAGATGGGAATATTGGGAAAGATAGCTTTCTCGATAATAAGAATCTTTTCAATATTTTTTGTTTAACTTGCTCCTCTGGGAACCTGCCCGAAATAGCTCCCGTGGCAGGCCCAGCTACTAGGACGCTTGAGTAAATTTATCTTTCTTACGTATACTTTACCTAGAAGCTAGGGTCTTCTTAACTGAATGACAAAACCACTCCCAAGGCCTAGGCAGCACCCGTGGTAATATTGGCCAGAGGTAAGAGAGGATATTTTGCAATAGATCGTGAGGATTAGTAGCCTTTTATAACTATACTGAGCTGCTCAAGTAATTAATCATTCTAAAACCACAAGGTGCCTCTTTTTTTTCCAGACTACTTATGTCGATTTCATTATCAACGAAATATCTGCAGGTAATAGTAACAGTTCTTTTATAACTTTAGTATTTCGAGACCTGTTAGTGCTGGGTGGTATAGCAAGGAGGGTGCAACGTTGTATAGCTGTAAATGCAACTAAGTGTCACGAGCGAGGAGCATTGAGGTCACTGATAATAATATACTAATTCCTCACTTCTGAAAAGGAAGCTTGCTGCAGGTACACTATGTTTCTCTCTATCGCGTCTTCCTTCACTCCGTTCCTCGAGCCCCACTGGTTGCTGCCGCTATATCCAATCTTCTACGAATCGCCTAGGTCCCAAATATCTCCCAACTATGCCGATTCTAAGCCCTCTGATTTTCAATCCTATACCCTAGGAATCTACCCTCCAACCAGTTACCAGTTTTCTACCATCTATATCAGTCTCGTAATACTCAGCTGGGCGTAGATTATTATCTTGGTTTTAAAGCATTGCAAAATATCCTGTACCATCTGCGAATTTAAGCCTTACAGTACACATATTCTGAATTATCTTCCATTTCTTTTTCCCTTTTATACTCCATTTCTTCTTTCCTCTTATACCATCAATATTATTGATTTTAGTAATAGATCGATCCCCATAGTAAAGTGCATATATCATCAGCCGACCTTTTTCCCAATTAAAATAAGCTTTGGGCTCGGTTACCATTACCGCCTCAGACCCGTAAAGCTCACTTATATTCAGAATAATTCCAGTTTCGGGAAACATTAACTCATTGGTCTTTTCATTAAACTCATGATCACATAGTAAGTTGAAAAAGAATTCCTTCATGTAGATAAGATCCCCAGAATAATCACTCTGCAAAAGGGCTAGTTTTATTTCATTTTAACCACTATTGATTTTTCATAAGTCTGACCCTAGCAAGGTAAGGAGTGCACCGTGATAAAAATCAACGTCTTTGTTTGCCTCGTTAAGTTGTTTAATTTTAATAAACCAATGGTTATTGACTTCCTGTATAGGCTTAAAGAAAAGGTGCCAGATCCAGTTCCCTAGTAGTGATGCTCTCTCCCTTTTTTTAGCTTCTTCGATGTGTTTCAATCTAGAGGCTGGGGGGAAATAGTTTGCTATTTTATCAAGGAGTTCTTAAGGTAAAATAAAACAGAGCTTATTTTGATTAATCATATTATATATGTTAATTTAGAGTGAAAGATAATATATAATATTTTATAATATACATATTAGTATAGCAACTGAAGGGAGATTTAAATATTCTAGAGGGGTTAGAAATCAATAAAAGAGTAAGAATAAGGCTTTATTAGATTAACTAGTACTAGTATCTTAAGCTAGCAGTCACTGGCTGAAAGCCAGAAGCAGAGCGGTTCGCTTAGTCAGGACCGCTCCGGAACCGGCTTTACAACGGTTCCTTTCTGTAGCTAGGATAGTAACTTAATTAATCACTTTCAACTACAGGGTTGACTGAAAGGAGTATCCGCTTTTTCTCCTTAATAAACATTATAATTCTTAGTACTACAGGGTTGACCGAAAGGAGTGTCCGCTTTCTTGTTCAGTAACATGTTAAAAAAAGGCTGTTTTCGGGCGAGGTGTGGCTAACCCATAGTGCGAATAAAAATATAACACAGTAACAGCGAAGTCACACTTCTGTTGATCCACAATGAGTCATAGGCCTTCCTTTGTTACTTGCCATATATATATTAAGGCCAGCAACTGGGCCCAAATGACTTCCAACATCTTGGGTCCAGTACGCTAGCTCTATTATGGCCGCGCTTGAATTGAGAATCGCTACTTGATGCTATCCCTCTACCACCTTGACTTCTCGACAATTTTTTGCTTCTAATTTACTGCTTTTTGCAGTTGCTTTTTATTTTACTAATATAGGTACCTAACTGAACTAGAACCTACACTAAGATATAAAACCCAAACCTTTGCACTTAGAATGGACACAGGTCAGTCGATTTCGTTTGTTCCTCTTGAGCCCCACTTTATTAGTTGTTGGTTGTTACAATATT